GAAAGGGGGGAGGGTCGTCATGAGTAGTCCCTGAAGGGAAAATGGGGGCTGGTATGGTTGGGGTCGTGAAGGATGTTTTTTGGGACAAGGATCGTGAGGGAAAGTTAGGGAAATCCCTGTGGAAAAGTGGGTTTCGGGGTGGGGGGTTGAAGAGCTTCGCTTGTCCTGGGTTGGCAGGTAGAGGACATTTTGAGGGAGGGGTTGGGGTTGTCTATATGGCGATTTCGTGTTCAGGGGAATGGCCAGCCCTTTTTTTTATTATTTGCCATGGTGTTTTTTGAGGCAAAGGAATCATCATTTCTGGATGATGGGAAAGGGGAAAAAAAGGGATGTTTATGCAGTCCCGCTCACCCACCACTGATGTTATATAAGGGGTGATGGAAACAAGGTGCAAGTCCTTTTCCTGGCCATTGATATTCAGATTATCATGTCTGGTGTCATTCCTGTCCTACTTTTCTTTTAAAAAAAGGCCCCAGGAATCTTGCCAGTGTTAACAATGATAGCATCTAGAAAACACAATGGAAATAGGCTGTGAACAGACACTAGCAGGAGGAGCCACAAAGAAAGCATAATATTTATCACAGCCAGTGTAAGGGGTGGGTGGATCTGTCTTGAGGTGGGTGGAGAATGAACTGTTTATGGCATATCTACTTGTCTAGTTTGGTTTTCACACATGTCTTGGAGCCAGATTGTATTAGGAATTAGGAACAGGCTCCAAAAATGCATCTGTTAAGGCAGATCAACACTGAAAGTAAGAGTGGCATTTTGAAACTTACTGGATAGAGGGGGAAAATAGTCCCAAAATAATTTAATGGCTCTGAGAAAATAAGGAAAGAGATGCCCAGTGATTAGGTGGGAAGCTGAGCTGTGTTTTGAGAACAGATGGGTAAACCCCCTTGCCTTAAACCCAGGCTTGATGTTGGGAGAAAGGCCTGGGTTTAAGACAACAGATTGTTTAATGTGAGGTTGTGGAGAGAGAAAGGTAGAGGAGTGAAGTGTTTTTATGTACTGAAATCATTTCTTTCTTTTATAAAATCTTCTCGGACAAACAGTTTTGAAAAGCGGAAGCAATAAGAAAACCAACTAGAGTCAGTTGGCTTAGTGGCTAAGATTGTGGCTTGGGAGGCCTGCATTCAAATCTATACAGTACTTGGTAATGAAAACCACTGGGTTACTGGTCTGGAATCAGACACACTCTCAGCCTGACCCCATTTCAGAGTGTTGCTGCTAGATTAAATCTGGAAAAAAGAGAGCCATTAAGCATTTTGGAGGGAAAATGGAATATAGATGTTTTAAATTGATGAGACAGTGTCTTGTTCAGAGTCTCTTGTAGGACACTGAAATCTTTTTCTAATTGATGAGACAGTGTCTTGTTCAGAGTCTGTTTTGGAAAAAGATTTCAGAGATGATTGTGGAACACAAATATCCATGTCTGGGTTGGAGAGTACTATAAAGTTGTGTTTCCTTTTCAAGAGAAAGGAGACGTAGGGTTGTAATTAGAGACAGATAGGTTGGGTGGAGGGGAGGAAGTGGCTGGAGCCAGGATGTGCAAATGGAAAAACAAGATGTGCTCATAGCAATTCATTGGTTCCTTCTTAATTGCCATGTGAATATATTAAATGGGGAGGATCAGTTTCTTAGGCAGTGCTAAGATATTGCATATGGGCTGAATGTCATTTGGTTTTTCCCTTTGGGGCTCAACAATGGAGGAGGAACTCTCTGGCATTCAAAGTACAGCCTGTCTTTAACAAGGAAGAACAGACAGTTTGAGCATGTACCAAGGCAAGTAGAACAGGAAGGGTTTGTGCCTTCAGGACTGGAGGAACATGGGAAGCTATCTCTTTTTCTGAGTCAGAGCATTCTTTCATATTGTCAGAAATGGCTGGCAGTGACTCTCCAAGGTTTCAGGTAGTTTTTCTCCCTTACTTTTCTTCAGATGGTAGGGATTTAAACCTGTATAATGCAGGTTTAAATCTTAAACATGTAAAGCATAATGGGACCCCCATATCCATGGTTTCATTTATCTATGGTTTGCTACGGCCCTATATACAACATATAATGTTTCCCCCTTGTGACTTTTGTCCCACCCCTTGTATGTTGTATATAGGCTTCCCTCGTATCCACGGTTTCAGACATCCACAGTAGACACCCCTTGTATGTTGTATATAAGGTTCCCTCATATCCACGGTTTCAGACATCCACAGTAGATTATGGAACAGATTCCCCACAGATAAATGGGCCCTAGTGTACATGCTGTGTAACTGAGCTAAGTTCCCTCCCATTATGATGGGAGTGTTTGATTATAGGAGAGCTAGAATCAAGCCCTGGAATTTGCTTGATTTTTTTTTTTTTTTGCCGTGTCAGATATTCAAAGAAATTTTTTTTTTTTTTTTTTTTTTTGCAGTGTCAGATATTCAGAGAATTTTTTTAATCAAATCTTGATGAGTTGTGGCATGTGGCCAAACAGTTGTGTAATTTACTGCACAGATGCCTTAGAAACTAGGCATGCTTAAGCCAAGTTGAGGCAATATCAGTAGTCAAACAGCTCTAAAATAGAGCTGTTTGGCAGCAGAAGCCACCCTCCTAAGGTCATGTTCACAACATTTCAATTTCTCAAAGTGCCTATATTTATTACTGCTGTGTGTGATAATTTACTGATAAAATCAGAGGATCTTAAAGAAATTGCTGAAGAGTCCTTCCTGTAAGGGCAACTGAATGTCAGCAGAAGTCGTGTGAAATGCCACACTATCAACAATGTGTGCAAATAGTATCTCTTTTTTGCCATGTAGTCCTATTATGTGTGAGAAAGTGGACTTGTTCATGAAAGCTCACATTAAAGTATAGCTGCTGAACTTGAGTAATTTTGGATTTATTCTATAAGCCTGTTTTCTGACTTTAACTTTTGGTCCATTCATTTAAAGACAACAAGAATATTTTAGTCTGAACATTTGTGGATCAGAATACACTTTCTCAGTTACAAGGAGTACAAATGCAAGCCCCCTATATTATCGCCATGGTGTTGAGCGTCATGTCTAGGGGAGATGTAGCTAACAAAATAAACTGACACAGGTGTGCTAACAGGGAATATCAAGCTAATTATTAACATACCCTAGCCAGGATGATAAGCTGTATGCCAGGTAGGCTTGGCTGTCCGAAGAGTACTGGCAGTCAAGGGAACCAAGTATTTTATATCCATGAGATTATGCCATAAGCACTTTGCATATATAAATAACAGTTGTTTCCAATATCTTATTTTTATATGTATATTGCTCAGCGTTTGAGGAAAACACTGAGCACTATTCCCTATACTAACTTTTGTGTAGCTGTAGAACACTATTCACAAATACATATATTTCTCAGTGATAGACACTTTCGTTAACAAGTTTGACCTTAGATTTAATGGTTAAGCATCTATTGCAGTTGCAAACTTCAACATTTATTGTGTTCATTATATTGTTACTTTTATTTCATAGCAATTCTATAAGAAATAGATTCCAAAGGACCAGGAGTGGTAATCTATCTTAGCAAAAGTACAGGTATCAGCATCCTATGACATTTTAAAGCCTGAGAAATTTATTTTGGCATAAGCCTTCATAGTTTATAGGCTGCTTCATTAGGCAAGTGTAATAGTACTGTTTTTCATTTTATGTTTTATTATTAATGTTGACCACTCACAAAATTGTTTCTCATAATAGTAAGACAAGGGCCACACACTTGTTAGCATTATAGCAAAATACTACTGAATTTCTGTTTTGACATTTAGGCGGTCTTTGGCAGTCACGTTAGCAATTGAGTTCAGGGATCAGATTGTCTTTTGGTGAATGACATTGCAATGTATTAAAGGGATAGCAAATGAAATCAGAAAGCCAGAGTGAACTCTCACACAGCATAGGCTCCTTTCAAACTTAAAGTGGTCCCACACACTCTCGCACGTGATCACCAGATTCTGGACCTGCTTTGTTACGTGTGAGAAAAGCTCTAAGTTATCAACATCTATTTTGAAAGGGAACATGAATAATGCCCATTCTAGACTACTAAAATTTCAGAACAGGATGGTTTTCCAGTCCTTGTGCAGAATATTGTATTTGGTTCCACAGTTCATTTTTATAGTAGTTATGATTTGTTAATGTATGTAATTTTAAATGCATGTTTTCTTTTTTTATATATATCTAGGTTGTGAGAGCTTAATCCTATTAGAAGCAGGAAAACATGAATTTCCATTCAGTTTTCAGCTCCCCCAACAGTAAGTGATATAATGTGGATTGAAATATTGAAGATTTTGATAAGTGTTTGTAGTAGTATTGAGGTCACATTTAAGTTAGCAGCCAACTGTGAATGGTTGATTATGTGTTATGCCCCAAACTGCACAAACTTAATTTTGTTTGGTTTTCATAAGAAAAATGACAAATACTCCTTAATCATTAGTTGTGGAGACCTTTGGAATAAAAATGTTGGTGTTGTGGTTCTTCTCCTCCTATCCGTAATGCCTGAATAAAGCAGGAGCTAATTGAAGCATGCATTTGTCACAGGAAAAGCAGAATGGAACATGACAAAAATGATGGGTGATCCTGTGGTGATGTTTCCTTTTGTGTTGTTTTATTCTCTTGTTCCTTCCCAACTATGACCTATAGAAATATGTGGGAAGGGTGATGTCAGAAGGCCATGTGAGCAGCTTGATCAGTTTTCCAGTTGGGGAACTGAAAGACAGAACTTCCAATGTAAATTAAACTGTTGTCAAATGTCATGCTTATAGAATCAAATATGCTTCGATGTACCAAATTATAGTGAAACTTGCATGTACTTCATACATTTGAATGGGTTTTTGGAGTTTTCATTGTATCAGTCAAAGTATCTATAAGTCACTGTACTAGGGTACACAAGGTGTCTCGAAGCCCTATATACCTTGGACCTGAATACCTCTCAGTCTGCTATGAAAATAGCAAAAGGAACTGGTGCATCCACTGAAATATTCAGTCAAAAAACAGGGACACAAGTTGTATTATGCTGGTATAAAATCCTGGTGGGCTTTTGGGCTATACAAATAAATGCTTGTAAGTAATATGCTAGATGTACCAATGGGAATTTCTTTGTCTTGTGGTCAGACCCTTGGCCACCTCTTTCACAGGAAAGTATGGAAGCATTCAGTACTGTGTGAAAGCAACTTTGGAAAGGCACATGGCTCCCAGTCAAACTGTGAAAAGAGAGTTCCAAGTTATCAGTCACATTGACGTTAACTCACCAGTTCTGCTGGTAAGATCAAATCTCACTGTGCTTTAACATGTGTTAATTCTTTCCTAAGTATCATCTGCAATATCGTCTGTCACTTGGCTGACTTTTCAGTTCGTCTCGTCTTGCCTCTAAACTTCATCTGTGAATAGGTTTGCATGAATTGCGAACAGTGTTTTGATTGATTTTTTTTATAAACAAGGTTGATTATATCCCTACAGACAGCCCTTATGTCCAAAGGTGGGAGAGGATTGACTTTCCTTTGTAAGACTTAATAACAACACTGCAGCTGAAACATCTTTATTCCATCAGAGCATGTGGATTTTTAGGGCTACAAAGTCCCTCCATTAAGAGTAGGCTGTAGAACAGTAGGTTATTGTAACCAGTTTGTCAATCCTAGCCTGTTTTTTTAATTTCCCGTCATTATACTACTTGCCCATAATATTTAGGTCTAAATGAATTTACTAGCTCCAAGTAGAACAGATCTATTTAACCTATTGCATCAGATGCCAAACAGTGGCCAGAGTCCTCTTAGTTACGCACACAGTTGTAATGCAAAAGCTTTACTTCTGAAGATGAATTGCCTCACATTAAGAAATCATTGTGGGCATTATCTCAGTGTGCAGTGTATAATACTGTCGACATTGATTTTGGCCAGAAAGTCAATACTTACATAAATCCGTTTGACCTAGTAGGTCTTTTCTTGGTGGTCCTAGCAATTGGATCTATGCTTTAAAGCAGTCATTCTCAATAGGGACCACAGACTGGAAACAGTTCTTCATACACCACTTTGTAGGGTTTGTTATGTCACTTAACAATCCTATATTTCTTTCATGTTGTTTATGGCCACAACAACAAAAGGGTTTTAAGACTGGCTGCTTTAAAGAAAAACAAATTATAAAAATCGAGCTAAATGAAAGGAACTGTCTTATGGCTTTGTCAGATAATAAATTCTAAAAATTGCTTATAGCCATCTTCTGTAGAGACATTCAATAAGATAACAAAAGATTGTAATCTACACCCCAAAAAATATCATAGCCTCCCACTTGATATTAATGTACTTAAGAATACCTCAGATGCTGAAAAGGAATACCTGTGTGATTACAAAATGTAATGAAAGAATGAAACAACGATAGGGGATGTGAGTATTTGGAAAATGTATTGTATTTTTCACTATAGTTAGTCTGCGAGGACAAAGGAAGGTGTAAAAAATGTATGGCCAGTATCACATAGGAGATACATCTATTTTCATAGATGGTTCCTCCTCAAAGATTGTAAATTTGTGCTGTAAGCTGCCTAGAGTGGTCAATATGACCAGATAGGCGGGGTATAAATGAAATAAATAAATAAATGAAATGAATGAATGAATGACCAAAAACCAAGACAAATTTGTAAATGACCAAAACCAAGTCAAATTCATTTTGGCCAAGTCTCATTTCCTCCCCTCACCCATTTTCAGTAAGGCTAGTTTGTGTTAACCATATAGCCCATAACAATATAGTCAGGCTGTGTCTGGATCATAAGTTTTAATATGCCTATGTTCTCTCCCCATACCCACCACACACTGATAGCATTATTTGGACCTAGTTAGAGTTCAGTTTACCCATTAGTCAGCCTCAGGTCAAGGAAAGAATAAGTATAAATAGATAGCAGAATCTTTTCCTTTCCAAAACATACCACATAGAGTGAAAAAAAGCAATAGGAATAGACTTCTAGGGAATCTTCTCTCTCCTTTCTGCGGAAGATTTTTGAAAATGCATGTGCAGAGAGAAGGGTTTTAAAGGGGAGTTTAATACTATCCCTGTTAGTATTTTGGTCTAGGCCAACTGTCCAGAAACAAATGTTGGCCTAGACCAAAATACTAACAGGGATTTTTCCTGAATCTTAAATTTCCATTGGTCTGGTTTTATGCTTTAAAATGAATTTGTGTTACAAATATTTATTACCAGTAGTTATGTTCTTTGAGTATTTCCCTTTGTTCTGGTGTTGTAAACAAGTATAGCTTTAGATGAACCAATGCTTCTCTCTGTAGTGGAAAATAAAAACAGGACATTGTAATTTGTGGAATGAAGTAAAAAAATTCTGCTTTACGTAAGAAACCTTCCATTGTGTAAATGGAAATGCTAAGCTGGAAAAATAAATCAGATTTATTTAGATAATTAGATAAAATGGATTAATAAACTCTTGGGAGTTAGCAGAGATTGTATCTCTTCCCATCATGGAAAATGGAGAGACCTTTCTTTCAGCCAAGAGAGTTGCTATTGCTTTTCACCTCAGCAAAGTGAGTTGCTTGCTTCAGTGGGTTGCTGTCATGTAGTGCATCATTAGCAAATATCTACAATTGGTGACAGCAGCCAGAATGTAGGTTATTGCACAGGTTACTTTGCACACCTGGCTAATAATGCCATTTGATTAATTGCAATTGAGATGAACATCTGACTGGTATACTTGAGTTCCTAACCCAGGATTGCTAACCTAGTTACTACCTCAGAGGGCAATAATACCTTTGCAGTTGCCAGGTGTAGACACCTGTTACTGACAAATGGAGTAGAAAGAGGACTGGGGTGCATTTCTTCCTTAGATAATACCTGTCACTTTGAAACACTCTGAGACTTTTCATGTCTGGTGTAGAACTATAAGTTACTTGGAGTGTGTGCCACATGGGCAGATGTACTTGTTTTTTCTTCCATGCTTTTCCACAGTATGCCACCAAAGTATTTCATTGTGTTCTCTTCTGCATCTTGTTTGATAAGTTCAACAGTCATAGGTGAATTGCTATGCTTGCAGTTTTGAAACACATTAATTTTTCTTTTGTTTATTTCTTTTTTGTTTTTATTTGTCTTTTCTTTTTGCAGAGCCCTGTAAGGCAATGCCAGGAGAAGATGGTTGGGTGTTGGTTTTTCACTTCTGGCCCTGTTTGTTTGAGTGCCAAAATTGAGAGGAAAGGTTATTGTAATGGTGAGTACGTTGTCTTCAATTTATTAAATTCAGAAAGAAACTAGAAACAAAGTTTGAATGCATTGCCCCATTCTTCTGTTTTCTAAGATAATAAGAATGAGGAGTGACAGATTTTTTGCAAGAAGGGATTGGCAAATGGCAGGAGTGGTGCATAGTTCATCCCATACATACTGTTTCTGTTTATGGTCTCTGGATCACACATACGAGTTCTGTGTATGTGGAACCGTTAGGGGTAGCTGTTTTAGGAGAAGTAAACCACACCCCCTTCAAGAAACGCCCTTCTTTTCCCCAGTTATATTTTGTCTGCCACAGAAGTAGTACTTTGTACTTTTTGTCTCATGAGGTTTTTGTGTTTGTGTTCTGGGTTTGTTTTTTTGTTTGTTTTTGCTTTTGAATATTTCCTTTAGGGCCCCCGCCTCCTTTTCTCTTTTTCTCCATTTTATTTTTTAGTTCATTGTTTTTATTCTGCAAGTGTTTTATTTTTCTTTGGATCGTGGCGCCCCTAACGCTTTCTTCAAATATAATGCAGAGTGTGGGGTTAAACATCCCTCAAAGCAGCAGACATAGGAAGAACCTAATCTGCAGTGATTGGTTGAAGTCTCTTTTTGAGAAAGAACCATACTATCTCATGAGGAGTACACAAAGATATAAGCATATGTGAGCAAGTTCCTCTTTGACCGCTATCTCAGGACCTAATTCTAAACTGATAACAGAAGGCTCTTCTTGCTTCATATTTATTTGAACACAAGTGTCTAATCAACTACAACTTGAAACTGTCTCGAATCCCAGTCCCTTCTAACATTCCCATCGGTTAATGTCTTCTCTTTCCAGGGAGGACAGTTTGACAAAGTAGAACTGTTCCACCAGATGGTCTCACCCTTCAGGTGTTGGCCTTCTCCTGGTGTCCCTGATACAGGCTCCCACAACAGGGATGTTGAGCCAATTCCCCATCCCTCTTCTTGAGGGGATCCTGATAGGTGGTCAGGGTTTCCCCTTGCAGGTGGTGTGCTTCCATCTGAGCAAGTGTCCATTGAGCTGCACAGGAAACAAGTATTCCTTGTTACTGATAAATAAATGAGTCTTGCAAACACATGCTCTGTTGGTAAGAGTGTGGTTCTGGTGCAGAGGACCATTGACTTCCTCTGGCTTTGGTCCACTTTTCAACAGAAGCACCAGTTCCCTGGGAGATGTATTTTTTCCTAAGAAATGTGTTTTTCTGTCCATTTCTCTTGCTTGTGAAAGTAGCAGCCAGTACAGTATTAATCTGGATGGTACAGGTTCCATCTTCATTGGTAGCTTGTTTTGTAGAATATTACAAGCTCTAATCTCAAATACTTTATAGCCTAGCTGCAACATGTATATTGGCAAAGCAATGTAGAAGGCATATTTCACACAAAAACAAAAACAAAAAAGCTGTTTTGGCTTGGTTCTCACGAATCAGCACAACTATTTCTTGTTTTTAATAAAAACAGTTATTTATTCCATTTATACCCTGCCTATCTGGTCATTGCGACCACTCTAGGCGGCTTACAACACAAAATATAAAACAAAAAATATATATAACATAGTTTACATAATTAGAAAAATTTTTCCAAGATAGAAAGAAAGACAAAATAAATCATCAAAAAAGGGGGAGGAAAATTAGGAATTAACTGGGGGGTGGGGGGAAGGAACATTAGCGTAACTGATTGCAAAGACAAGAAATAAGATAAGATAAGAAATTTATTTGTCATTGCACTCACAAGTGGGTGCAACGAAATATGTTTTGCTTCAAGTTATTGAGTAGTGTCTTCAGATATACCACCACGTTTAATAATATGCTAATTCACTCTTTCTGAATATCTTTGGTCTTTTTTAGGTGAAGCTATACCAATTTATGCAGAAATTGAAAATTGTTCCTCTCGTTTAATTGTTCCAAAAGCTGCCATTTTTCAAACACAGACTTACCTTGCTAGTGGAAAGACAAAAACATTTCGGCAGATGGTTGCCAACGTGCGAGGAAATCACGTTGCTTCTGGAAGCACAGATACATGGAATGGGAAAACTTTAAAAATTCCACCTGTAACTCCATCTATCCTTGACTGCTGTATTATTAGAGTTGACTATTCTTTAGCTGTGAGTATGGCTTTTTCATGTTTAACTTAATTTAGATTAATGTTTTGTGTCTTGTTCCATGATGTAGATCTGTTAGGTTTTCACAGAAATTGGTGTCCTTATTCTTGTAACCTTTACAGTGCTAGGTAAGAGAACGCAGTTCAAAGATAAAATTAGCTGTTTCATAGTAGGCCTAGCTCTATCCAAATTATTTGACAGGTCTAAATCTTTCTGAAAATCCAGTACTTTTCACTTGTAGTTTCTGCTAATGGCATATTTGGCTGAAATTTAAGTGTGGGTAGCAGTCCAGAGGCTAATAAGTAGACAAGTAGAGGATCAAAATGACTTTTAGATTGCCCAACTAGTTCTATACAAACAGGAAGATAATGATTGAAATGTAAGATAAATAAGGGTTTGCAAAACAAGCTAGAAGGCCCCAAACTATATCTTTGGGAAATGTAGTCTTGTATTCTATTTTATTTTATTGGTTGGTAGATTGATTGATTTGATTTGATTTGATTTGTATCCCACCTATTTGGTCTATACGACCACTCTGAATGGCTGGGGTTCATGGGAATGTCTGAGCTTTACAGTTGGCAAGTTGGAAAAATTGATAGTAGTGATTCTGGTTCCTTTCCAACATACTATGAAATACTATCTCATTGCAGGTGTACATTCATATTCCTGGTGCTAAAAAGTTGATGCTTGAACTGCCTCTGGTGATTGGCACAATTCCATGTACTGCATTTTCCAGCACAAATTCAAGCCTTGCCAGCCAGTTCAATATGGATATGAGCTGGCTGGCACTGACAATGCCAGAGCATCCAGAAGGTACTAATTTGCATTTTGTTTTTATTTGGCTGGATTTTTCATTTAGAGTTGCGGGAACAGCTATGTAAATTTAGGGAAAGCAACAAAACTGTCAAAAAATGGAAGCCAATTTAGCAAGTAAATTGTTGAACTTGGATTGGGGAAAGCTGGCATAAATTGTGAAGCTGTGTTTTACCTTGAACTGTTGCTGTGTCTTTCAGTCAACTCGTATAGGGTAATTCTGAAAAGAAAATGCTGTCTCATCTTTGAAAAAAGAGGAGATACAACTATAATGAAGACACATCATGAAATTCTTCTATGTTGCTTTGCATATATTGTACTAAAAACTGCAGTCTTTGACCCTGTGTATTTCTTAAGACTCCAATGATCATTTCTCTGATTTGAATTATCATTTATTGTTGATCAGGTGTAGGAATAGCTTTATATGTAAAATGAACTCAAGGAAGTAATCACTGAACTGGCTTGGTTGAATTTTTTGTTCTATTCTTTTCCCTAGCCCCACCCAATTATGCTGATGTCGTATCAGAGGAAGAATTCTCAAGACACGTCACTGCATTCCCACAGGCAATTGACTGTGACGAACAGTTATGTTGTCCTCTGCTTACCTACATACAAGAATTCCGGTTTCAGCCACCTCCTCTCTATTCAGAGGTAAATTATGCTATTTAGAGCAACTTCTAAAACTTAAAAAAGAAAAGTATACATGAATTTCAGCATCCCAATAATTAAGTGTATTTCTTTCCTCCGCAGATTGATCCACATCCTAGTGAGGTAGAAGACAATCAACCAGTTTCATTCAGGGTGTAAGGATAGTTCTGAAGAACCTGAATCTTCCACAAACAGAATATCTTGATTTTGGTTTTCTACCGCCTACGCTGATAGTAAAGCCACTTTAAAAGCACTTTGTTGCATAAGTTTGCAACAGACAGATGTCAGGTCAACCTGACGTTTTCAGTCCGTATAAGTTGTGCCTCCTTGTGGATAGGGGATTGATGGAAGAGAGCCCTGTGAATTAGTCTGCACAGAAGAAGCCATGAGAAGAATTGTCAGATAAAGCGCCCCCTCCTTCTTATTGGAATATGTCTAAGAAGCAGGCATCAATATTGGTGGCCATAGTGCAAGATGGAAGGAATTGTGTGGAGGATACATCAGAGAGCTTTGAAAATGGAGCTGAATCGGGAAGATAAAACAATTCGGTCATGTCCGAATGGTTAAAAGACAGCCTGTTGATTTCCAAATAACTCCATTCCTTTTGCAATTCCTTACTCAGTTCCACTTCAGTAATTGCCCCATTGACATAAACCATGTGGTTGACAGCTAAACTTCACCCTGAGGGGTATGCAACATCCCTGTTATCTAGGTGCATGCTTTCTCCACTAGAAATGTTAGGAATCTTATCTCAGTAGTGACGCTGGAACTTGTAGCTTCCTTGCCAATCACCTTTTTCTTTGGCAGTTTTTCTTAAGTTCCAAAAAGGGAACTGCATCTCTTTCTAACAATTCTAAACATTCAAACGTTTCTGAATATTAAGCGAGGCGTAACATGGCGATAAAGGGAGCAGTCAAATTTTAACAACTTGAGACACTGTTGCCAAAGCACACACACCCTACTGGGATGAAATTGGACAGGATGCTTTAGTTCTATGTTGGAATGTATAGATGGAATTATGAAAAAAGTTCATTGACAACAGTGGGTTTGTGGATTTAACATCCTTAAAAAGAAAAAAAAACTACCTCTCTTTTGACTGGGAGCTGAGACCAAACAATAATTCTTTAGAGTTTCTACCTGTGCCCATTTAATTTCTTGTAATTAGTCAAATGCCAAGAAGCAGAATAGTCCAGCTTTAAATACAGTTTTTCAATAACAATGGGGAATTGTTATTGGGAATCCGTAACAATGGAGAATCATAATATTACAAGATGATTATTCTAAAAAAATTGAGAGTCTCTTTAACGTAAAAACAAAGAGGTCTCCTGTCAACTTAAAGACTAATAAATGAATTATAGAATGAATTTCTTGGGCTATAACCACTTCATCAGATGCATAGAGTAGTTCTGGAAAACATCTGACATCTGTACGTACATTTAGCGTGGGATTACCCTGTATATTAGAGGTGTGCAGAGTTGTGTTTTTGGACTACAGCTCCTAGAATTTCACTAGTCAGTATGTGGATTGTAGTCCAAAACTACATCTAATATATATCCACCTCAAATCCTGGATAACATTTCATGTCTGACAAAGTGGGCCATAGTCCAGAAGTAATCATGCTATAAATAAATTAGTTGGTCTTCAAGGTGCCAATGCCACTTATTTGGTGACTAACAAGCTACATGGAATTTAAACTGCTGTGCTTCTCTGGAGTAGTCGGAGTTATTTTTATCAGTCTTTGAGACGGACTTAAATTTTATTTTGGTGCAATATTTGTTTCTCAGGTCTTTTAAAACAGCGAGTTTGAATACTAATGGCTGCTTTACAGATGGCAGAAAACCTTGGTTGGATGGGCTTCTGGGCTTTTAAAAATTTTTTTGCATGAGTAAAAGTAATTGTTTTGAATAAAAAAAAATTCAGTTGTAGACTGTCCTTGGCATCTGCATGGTGCTGCTACTCCTTTTTCCTCCTGATCACTCCTTAAAACCTTTACAGTGGAGCCTTGAAAAACAGCCCCCCCCACCTATCCTTCACCTGCTGTAACTAATCTAGAGTTCATGTAACTGAAATGCATGTGCTGCTTTAATTATGTCTGCTTCCACGTAACTCCTTTTTCCTCTGTTGTACTTCTGTACTATTGCCTGATAGATTGTAAGCCCTGTGGGCAGGGACCTAATTACTTCTATAGTTTAAGATGCCATATACATCGCTGGTGCTATGGAAGCAGTAGTTTGGATCCAGATTTCAGCTTATACAACTGGGCTGGTAGAAGTAAACTTCTTTACCCCATCCTTCCCTCAGCGGCCTCACAACCTCTCAGGAAATGCTAAGTTTCTGCTCACTACCACCACCACCCACCACCACATTAGGTAGAGACACTTATTCTTTCATTTATCAAAGATTAGTTTGCAGCAGACATCTTGTTAAAGAAAAGGGATGCTGCTGAAACAGCTCCTGTTTTTAAAGTTTATACTTCTGTTAAAACTTTTTCTAAATATATGAAGTTGCTGCCTCTTGTAATCAGGGACACAACTGGGAATTTAAAGGCTTTGGTTTATTTTAATATGAACATAATACATTGATCAAACACTGATGCTCTAATGGTTAGCCACAGATCTGATGTGTAAGGATGCCCTTGACTGCTTTACTGTCTGTCTCAGAAGTAGATTGAAAGTTCAGTCTTGCTCATGTCTGTTGAGACGCAAGTCTTGTTGACTTTAGTAGAGTATATGCCAAGTGAAGGATGTATGGGATTTCAGAATTTTTGCTGTTTCCTTATGAAGAAGTCTTTCTCTTAGTGATGATAGTGTTAGCATTTCATCTTGAGACACAGATATTTTTTCAAGGTGCATTTTTGCTGTTTCCTTATGAAGAAGTCTTTAGTGATGATATTGTTAGCATTTTATTTTGAGACACAGATATTTTTTCAAGGTGCGCAATTTGTTCGAACTCTGTATTCATGGAGTCTCATGATAACGGAATTCAGTCTTGTAGAGGCTGATCAGTGATTGCTCTTTTGAGCAATGGAGAGGTGAGATAGAAAGGGTTTCCTATGTAGTGACGTCCTGTGCTTAAAGCAGCTTCAGCCTATGAAGAAAATGTAGGATGTTGAGTATTTTAGAAAATGGAGAACATGTGTTTGCAAGTAGAATGGGTGGAGTGGAGAGAAAGCGTATTTGTCCACGGACAGCCATTAATACACAGTTTCAGGCCTCTCTCAAACTGGATTGCCGCCAACGTCATAAGTAGCAGGAGTTCCTCCTGGCATTTATATCATGTCTGCTGAAGGCCTACGCATATGTCTGTTACTCTACCCACCAGGGTAGAATTTGAAGAAGCTGTGCTGAGAAGTCATGGTGTACAGAGGTTATTTGTTGCCGAAAAGGAGATAGAAGTTGGCAGAGGTGGGTGGGCTGGTTTTCTTTGTTTTTTTCAACAGGACCCTATGTTTTTTGCACAAAACAACTGAGTCTACATTGGTGCCATTTTTCTCACCAACTACTTTCGGATGGCATAAACTAATTACTAGATTCAGTAGCTGTTAGTCAAGTGTAATTAGGGCAGGAAAGTGCACTTAAAGCTTCCTGGTGTGTGCCCCATTTCCTTTTTTAAAAATGTATCTGAAAAAGAGAATGCTTGAACCAAATTCATGTTGCAGCCTGTTTGGGGAAATACATTTGTCTTAAAATATTGAGTAATATCTCCAGTGCTTGTTTTAAGAAAAAAAATGCCTATAAAAATCATAATAATAATTGCAGGATATTCCTATGAAGGGAACAAAATATTCTCCTTATTAGCTCCTTATTACTTGAAAAGCAATAATGTGGCTGTATAACATGCATGTCTTAGAATACTAAATGAGTGGTAACTTAGGTGCTTATGATGACTGACTGCAATACCAATAAGAGCTCACTGTTGGTATCGTGGTCCTATAACAAGAGCATGCATCAGTGCAAAGGATCAAAAGACACTGCACTTTTGTTTTTATCTTAGCAGCACATACTGGATTACTTGCAAATGCACTGTGGCCTTAGATCGGTTGAAAAAAAAAAGAGAACTGTCTTAGGAAGCATGTTTTGTCTTCCTAAGAGACTCACTTTAGACTGAGAAAGCAAAGCTCTGCGTCCAGTCCTGGAGGGCAGAATTTACTGCTATGTCATGTATATTGCACAAATTAATAATGCAGGGGTTTATGTTTTCTCTCTCTCAACTACTGTAAAACAGTTTAAAGACCAACAGAAATGCTAAATGATTGTATTTTGTATTAAAAGTATGAACCCTGTGGGTTCCGTTTCATAATAAATACATAAAACCACCTACTTGTCTTGGGGTTGTAGATTTTTTTTTCTTTTAATGGTGTCTGAGGACCCTGGGTGAACTTCCAGGGGCCTCGCCACTGAAAGCCCTTCACAATTCAGGGTCAAAGTGTCTTAAGGATCAGCATCATCCTCATACAACTCGCCATACTTGAGGGTTAGAGGTTCTTTTCTGGATTCTTCCTACCCTCTTCTGAAAATGGGGAAAGGGCATTTTCAGTCGTGTATGGAGAACTTTCTTGCCCAGGTAATACAAGAAAATACATTACACTTCATAAAGGCTCTCAGATTTATTACAGGGCAAGTTACCTGTGGATTGATGCTTTGAAGTGTCCTCCTAAGTTGTCACCTAGTTACAGAGAAAAGTATGAAGAAAGAAGTGTAATGCAGGAAATACACTGGCAATTGCATGGAAGTGTACACAATGAAACAAGTAGACTGTCATTTGTTATTAATGCCATTCTGAGCAAGTTATCTTTCCCTTTGTACCTTTTTCTTATCTTTTTTCCCCTTGTTAGATTAGTATAAAATCAACTTAAAATACGGTACTTAAGATGTGTGTAATGGAGAGGACTCAAGTCAAAGAGAGCTTCTGCCATAATCTCTTCGGTGCCCAGAGACTTCCATGCTGGAACACACTTAGAAATTTACCCCAGTGGAAATAGGCCATCTCCTTTTCATCTTTCTTTCACCATGCCAAAAACTTAAGTTTTTGCTCTGCTTTTCTTTTCTTTTCTCTGTTTTCTGCCATTTTCATGGATTACTTTTATCTGTTAAAAAAAACATTTTCAGTAGTTTGACATCACTATCCTTTTAACTGAAGAATATAACATCTTGATCATTGAATGCTTCTTCTTTGTAAAGAAAGTGGATGTCTTTCAAACCCCTCCACTGTTATGTAAAGTTAATCAAATGGATAGAAACTGTTCCACAGAAGAGCTAAACTCGTATGTCTTGATGTGGTTTGGCCAGAAAAGCTGAGCTAGGTATCTGGCTACACAGCCAAACATTGAGAGTTTGATTTCTTGATGTGGTTTGGCCAGAAAAGCTGAGAGTTTGATTCTCACTGTACATCCTAGAAGAGCCAGCCTGTGTGGCCTTGGGGAAGCTGCACATTCCCAGGGTTCATCTTGAAGAAGGGAATAGTCAACTACTTCTGAGTATTCTCTACTGAGAAAACCCTGAAAATGGTCACCATAACTCAGAATTGACTTGATGGCACAATTTTTTTATTATTATTAGCATGAGAAAACCACAATAGTCACCATAACTCAGAATTGACTTGGTGGCACAATTTTTTTATTATTATTGGCATGAGAAAACCACAATAAATCCTGCCCAATGATCTGTATTGTGCTGATGTGTTTGTTTTCAAGACCTGGATGGCAATCAAAAAGCATTAAACAGTTGGCAGAAATTGATTTACTCAATTTCCCACAAAAATATGCTGTGTTTCATTTAAAGTGTCCCGTTAACTTTGACTTGCATTTTAATGCACGCGCTGCAAAAGATTGCTCAGTTGAACTGCTCTGAGTTGCACATCAGTGTTGTTACAAAAGGCAGTGTCTCCTTTCTAGTTGGTTTTGGGTGGTTCCAGGAGAAGTAAAATATCTTTCAACTTCTTTTTCATGCAGGAAGAGCACTAGACCTGAATAATACTTTGGGGTCCGCTTCTCATAACAAATGATGTAGACTAGGAAGGAAGAATTGTGGGATCCATTTCGAAAGTGCCTGATTGAGGAAGGGTGGTGTAGGGAATATTAAGTTAGATGAAAGAAAAATAGCTGCATTGAATCCTGCCTAATGTAGACCCTAGTAGTTAAGATATCAGCAGCCTATCACATATTGTGTGTTGACTTGGACAATTTTTTCTCCCAAACCTGACATGCAAGACTGATTAAGGAGAGAAATGCTGAAACACCCCTTGTGAACCTCGGTCTCTTACTAAAAACAATCCACTTGAAAATACATTTATTTACTCTGACTATTGAAACTCTGCTTAATTGTACTTTGGCAAAGCTGTAATAATACTGAGTTGTCCTAGAGTGGCTTCAGAGAAGAATAAAAGGTGGTATTAACAGAGCACTGCAGTCCAAACAGGGGCTTGAGAATGTTTTAGCAGTGGAAAACCCCGTTACATAATGGTTTAAAAATGAACTGGTAGTAAAGGCTATTTTATACTCCTGGTTTTTTTTTAAAAAAAATCTGAATTAATATACATCCCAGCAAAAACACGAAGAGCAAATGCATGAAAACGGGAGCACGGAAGCTCTTCCCTTGTGTGGGATGGCTTTGTTAGATGTATTTCTGCATGAGCAATGCTCTGTATATGTGGTGGCTTTCCATGCAACTCTGAGCACTAGAAAAACAACAGTAAACCTATAAGATTCTTATAATAATGTAAGAATTGGCCACTTCATAGGCAGATACCAAGTCATATTGCTTTAGCTCTCCATCCCCTCCAAATCTTTAGCTGTCTGCTTGGAGAAGCATGCTATTTCTGAACAGGAGATTACTGCACCAAGCCACAACATTTTGCTTAGATAGGAAGTGCCTGATGGGTCTGTGCCAGCGCTGGATGCCCGTTTCCCAGGGTTAAGTGCCCAAGCTGCAATGTCAATTGGCATGCTTTCATCCCCACTAACACATTCCTCTGGCTCAGGGCTAAAGGACAGGGATCAGTGTATCTAAAGAGACAACCCGCTGTGTTGGGCGTGAGTACTGTTTTACTGCCTTGCTGAATCAGACCAAAGATTCGACAAAGCCTAGTGTTGTGTTTCCACACTGGCTGGGCAGATTGTTCCAGAAAGCTTATTAGTGACACACAGAAAAAGGGGGAGGGGGCATCTCCCTGTTGCTTGTCACAAACATTTAACACACAAAGTCATGTGGTCGGCTCCAGAGTTCCAATGTATGCTTCTGCATGCAAAAACAAAAACAAAAACAAAAAAAAACACACCCTACAGTATTAGGTAGACCATGCAAAAGCATAAACGACAGCTCAAGCTTTGGGGAGAAAAAAAAAAAAAAAAAAAAAACACCCTACAGTATTAGGTAGAGCATGCAAAAGCATAAACGACAGCTCGAGCTTTGGGGAGAATACCGTATTTTTTTGTGTATAAGACTATACTTTTGTCTAAAATCTTTAGGCTAAAAATTGAGGGTCATCTTATACATGGAAGTAAGCTGAGGAGAGAATAAAAACAAGTGGAGGGGAAAGCAGGGATCAAAGCGATCCTGCAGCGCTTTGATCCCTTTCCCCCTGCACTTGCTAAGCCCCACTTAGATTTCTTAATTTTGGATTAGTAAAGTGGGGGGGCATCTTATACATGGAGGCGTCTTATACATGGGAAAATATGGTAGTCTGTTCTCTGAGCAGCTTGAAAAGGGGAGGAGGATCAAAGAAAGACCAGTTTGGAATGTGGGGTGGAGGAAACAGGCCTTGTTGGACAAACTCTATTGAAAGGTTGGATGGTCATTTAGAATACCACACTAGGCTAGCTACCTGATTGGGAGAAACTGGAAGGGGACTAAGTGGGAAAGGAAATGATGTCATATGAGGTATCAAAAGTGAAAAGGGAAACAACCAAATGGCCCTCACTCACCATCACCACCAGGTTTTCATGGTTCTTTGTGTACAGCTGATGGCACCCTTCTTGATGTCCCAGAGTGATGGAGTCTTTCAACAGAATTAGTTGGAATGATTCGGCTTCCCATCTTATCTCCCTTGGCTGCCTTCTAGGGATGAGGGAGGAGCTTCGTAAAGTATGGGGTGGTCATCTCAGTAGATAGAACCAACAGAGGCTGCTGACTCTCAACTTTGCAGGGTGGTAACTTTGCAGCAGCTTTTAATTTGACCCTTATGGAGCTATCCAAGGTGCTGGATCTGGTCCCTTAACTAGAGGGAGCATCATGGACAACTCCCTCTTTCTGACCGTCCCCTCTCAGTTCTTCCTCCTGTTGAAGAACAATGGTGAATGTCCCTTTTCTACACTTTCCAAACTTGAGATGGCATGGGTGATGACATTGTCCCATTGCCCTCTTATTTAGCAACCAGCCTGGGTAATTTCTACACATGGCACAAAGGAAAGGTGTCAGCTTTTCCTTTGCCTCAGGCTGCAAAATGTCTCAAGCTGGTGCTGAATTTCAAAAAGAACAAAGCCATTAAAATGCAAATACTAAGACTTAAAAGCCCTAATAAGACTGAAAGCCACAGAATCATAAAGGCATCACTTTAAAAATACCTAAAAAATTCAGCACTTAAACGCACACATACCTCTGCCTGAAGCTCAAAGGACAGTAAGGATTATGTTAGGGTTTACAGACAATTCAAAAATTTTGGGGAACGTGTGTAACCAAAAAAAAAAAACCCAAAGTTTCAGCTGCACATTTACAGGCTGAAAAATGACAGGACAATTTTGTCTGACAGATCCGTGAAGTTCTGATTTCTTCCATCTCCTGGCAGCTGACATCTGCTGTGCACTTCAATGTTAAATCCAAGCCACTAGGAGCCATCCACCAGAATCTGAAATGTGGAGAGAGAAATCTCAGTGGACACACAGCATGCTTCCCTTCAAACCCATCGCTCCACATGCTCCAGAGAAAACGCATGTTACAATCAAGTCCACCTGGATTTCAGGCACCTGCCAGCAAGAACACCTTGCTTACACTATCTTGCATCCTTCCTCGTGGTCCCCCAGGAGGACTAAATTAATATTCCAATAATCATATTCATCAACACCTCCAACTTGCTGAAGCCTAGCCAAAAGTTCAAGAAAACGTTTGTGCGGCCATCGTTTTCTCATTCAGGGACTCTTTCCGAGCCCCTAATTGCAGCTTGCTTAAATCCCTAATTGCCGCTTACATATTGTAGTCATATTAATTCTCAGTTGTCATATTTAAATTTGTGTTGATATTTTCCAGCCGGACTGTTGCATTCATCGCAAGGTGACGGTGCTCCAGGGAGGGAGATTCCTCGGGGAGTCAATTAGGATTCGGT